TAGGATTGTGCCGGAGCTATTGATGAGACTCCTGTCCCTGCTCGAGTTCGTAGTCGATTGTATAATCGTTTCTGAAACATAAAATGATTTCTAAGCCAGCATGTTATGGCTGCGGTTGGTTTTGATATGCGCTTCTATTATGTACTTGCAGGTTGGGAAGGATCCGTATCAGATTCTAAAGTCCTATAGGATGCAATTAGTAATGAAGGCAGTAGGCTTGCAGTGCCTGAGGGTAACTCGGTTCCTTCTTATGTTTCGTTGTGTCACACCCCAAGATTTATAACACTGGAATCCCTGAGATATAACAGTCTATCTTTAATAAAACGAAATTTTTCTACTTCACCATTAATTGCACTAAAATAGATTTTTCCATTTCTAAGAGTTTGTACAAAGTCTACTCATAACTAGTATTAACATGAAGGTTTAGATATACATCTATTGATAGGACAAAATTTACAATAGTGAATTTGAACAAAAGTCACAAAGAGAAAATTTCATCATAACTATGACTTCTTCCAAAGTTGGTCCTGTTGTGCCTTCAACTAGGGAGGCTGCAAATACCTTAAAAAAATTTTACCATAGTTTGATGAGTTTGGCTACTCAGTAAGTAATCATCATAGTCCTAAGAAATAATCATAGTCGGAAGATGTTAGCATTTTAAAAAAGGGAGGTCTATTAGAAACAATGCAAGCCAAAACGCATTTACGGATAGCAATTTCACTTTCAGAAATGCACAATTAAACATAATCCAAATGATTAAAATGCATAACTCAAAAGATTTCACAAAATACCCTACTGGCATCCCATGTAGGTCACCTATATACCCCATTAGCGTCCTGGATGGGTCCAAACAATTCCTGCAGGTCCAAACATACCTCACCGGCGTCCCGAATGAGTCCAAATAGTCCCTACCGGCGTAATCAGATAGGTCCAAACAATCCCTGCAGGTCCAAACATACCTCACCGACGTCCGAATGAGTCCAAATAGTCCCAAGCGGCATAACCGGATTGGTCCAAACAATCCCTGTAGGTCCAAACATACGTCACCGGCGTACCGGATGAGTCGAAATAGTCCCTATCGGCATCCTGGATAGGTCCACACATACTTAAATTATCTCGAAAACTCTTTAGCATAAGAAAGCATCAACATCGTATATTCAAGTATCATTGAAATCATTAACAGGAATTCACTTGAAGCAATTTAAACAAATTACTTTCATTAAAATATTTGTAAGTAACCAATCAAACAATTTGGATAAAAATTGCAGAAAGGTAGCAGATTGAACAGGTATATTTGAAATGGAATGTAATAGGCAGTTGATTATCAATTTAAGAGCTTTTATAGAAATCCAAGGTTAAACAAATAAATATCATAATTTTATGGAATGTAATTTCATAATTAACTATTTTACAATAATAGGTAAAACTTATAGTATCTAAAATTCATATACAAACAAAAATACAATTAAATGCAGAAATGCGTAAATCTCACAGTATTGGTAGTATTATAATTAATTGCAGAAATATCAATTTTTCACATAATAATTTTATCATAAATGACATCACTTACACATAAATTTTACAGTGTCTAAAAGTCATAATAATAGGCAGAAAATTTATTTTTAATACTTTACAATGCCTAAATTTCTAATGATATAATTTTAACAGAAAAAAAATGATACCATATGCGTATAAAATTACAGTATAAAAATGGTAAACAGACTATTTTTCAGGATAATGAGATCATTTACCTATAATATTTGAGAGGGAACTTTTGGTAAAATTAGGCTAGAGAGAAGGAGTTCACTGCGTTCTTTAATTCACAAAGAGGGCTCAACATTACTAAGAGGGAGGGGCATAAGAGAGAGTGTTTTTGAAGAGAGAGAATCCAACTCGTTCTCATCTTTTTTAAACACAAAAAAAATTTGTTATAATATATTATTAATCCACCTCATACATAAGGTGTTACATTAACACTTAAAGCCCACGTCCCTAGAGGACGTGGCACATGAAACAAAAGGTGAAGGTAAAAAGAGCAAAAATAAAATAAATTGATGGTCCCTAAGGACCAAATTATTTGTATGGACCATCAAATGTAAATGGTTGTTTTTTTTTTTTTTTTTTAAGTTTTAGGATTGTTACATTCTCCCCTTTCCCCCCCCCCCTCCCCTACCCCCCTAAAGAAATTTAGTCTTCTAAATTTGTGTACCTGATTGCTGAAAAGATAGGGGTATTTTTCTCTGATTTCGTCTTCTCGTTCCCAAGTTGAGTCCTCTCACGAATGATGCTGCCACAATACGCGGACCAAAGGATGTATTGTAAATTTTGTCCTATCAACAGATGTATATCTAAACCTTCATGTTAATACTAGTTATGAGTAGACTTTGTACAGACTCTTAGAAATGGAAAAATCTATTTTAGTGCAATTAATGGTGAAGTAGAAAAATTTCGTTTTGTTAAAGATAGACTGTTACATCTCAAGGATTCCAATGTTATAAATCTTGGGGTGTGACACGTTGCTTCAATTTGTATAATATTTTTAGTGTAATATTTGGCCTTGCAATATACTCATTGTACAAACATGGTACATGAAAATATTACCTTGAAGATGGTGGGTAACCTACTATGCGCGGTTTCAAATGACCATATCAAAGAATCCGTTACCATCTAAACGAATTTACTTCAGGCCCACGAGCTCCTTAAAATCACAAGGAGTTATTCAACAAGCGGCATTACGCGCTTAGAAATGTGGTGGAGAGGGCGTTTGGACTTTGGAAAGCCAGATTTCCTGTACTCAATAATCAAATGCAGTATCTTTACGAACACAAGTTGTAGTTATTGCATGTGCAATATTGCACAACTACATCATGATGACATGGGGAGTCAATAACAGAAGAGAGCTAAGTTTTCGAAAGAGGGTTGAGAGTCAACTCGTAATTGACGGAGATGATGTTTTTTTGCAATTGACTCAGAGGCACGCTGATCATGACGTTGACGTCAGTCTGCGAGATGCTATGGCGACGCAGTTGTGGGAGGCCTACCCAAATCACTAGCACTTGTAATTAAACCTTGTTCTACATTTTATATGGACATTATTTTGTGGCCACAAATATTTAGTCCTTGTCGAATGTTGTCTTCATTCTATTGCATTTTGAATTATGTATGTTTAAATTATTACGGGTTATTTTTTAATGGGCTAATTTCTTACTTCTTGCCTTGTGCATGTGTGTTTGAATAAGCTGATTTCTTAGTTCTTGCATTTTAAATTATGTATGTTTAAATTATTGCAGGTTAGTGTTTAAACTTAATTAAATTGAGGTTGTGCTTGACATTGTCTATAGACTGCTTTAATTTTGAAGTGCAATGAAGTTTATCATGGAACTTTTGTGTCTATTGATGTACAAATGTATCTCTCTCCAGAACGCTTCTCTCACTCATCAATTTTAAAACTCTTTCTCTCTCTCAATCCAACGTACTTTACTTTCAATTGATATTGTATTCTAAAAAATAATATTATACAAATTAATAAAAAATAATTATCTAGGTCTCAATTTTAACATTTACATCTTGCTTATTATTTCACGCTAATCCAATACAGATATCCGATTCTTTTTTAACTTCCCAAGAGGTGATCAAACAAGAAACCAAGAACTTCTTAACTTCTCAAGAGGTTCTCAAACACAACTAGAAACTGCTTAACTTCTCAAGAGTTTATCAAACACAGAAGCTAGGAACTTCTTTAGTAACCTCTAATTTACAGTTAAGAATAAACTTCCAATTTACAGTTCATGCTTCCAGTTATCAAACAAGCCCTTATAGAAAGAAATGAAAGAGATATACGGTTAGAGGTATTTGAAGAAAGAGAGGGTGCATGGAGAGAGAGTGAGAGTGGGAGATAGTGTAGAGAGGGAGAAATATTTAAAGAGAGTGATAAGGAAAGAAAGATTTAGGGAGAGAGAAATTGAGAAAAAGATTTAGGGAGAGACTAATGAGTGAGGGGAGAAAGAAATAAAAAGGAAGGAGAAGACTAACTGCTACAATATTAGAAATGTTTATTTTTTTGAAAGATTTCTTTCCGATAAACAAACGTGCCCTAAGCGTGAGATTTGATTTAACAAGAGAAATTGTGTAAGAGCTGAAGGAGTTGGGAACTTTTGATTTTAAAACTTTTTGAAGAGAGAGATAAATGTGAAATTAAAACTTTTTTTACAAAGCTTTTCTTTACAAAGAGCGACAGTAGAGCGGGGGCAAGTCCTCATTTTGCTTATTTATTATAGATATTTAGGCAGCATTTGGTATGGGTGAACTCTTTAATGTAATTAGGTGGGGGAGTTTTTTTTTTGTGTAAACAAAACTCCCACACCACTAAAAACCCTCACACCTTATCACATAAAAATACTTTTACACCTGATCAAATATTTTCAGGCATAATTGGAAATCTTAAACATATAATTCTGCTATGTGCCTTTGGAGAAAGCGTAGAATAAGATCCAAATGGTCTATAATACAACATGATCTAGGTTACCATCACCGTCCACGCGATAATTTGATGGTGATAGTTCAGTTGCTAGAACCATCTTCTCGTCTGTCAAAGCTATTGTTTGGAATTATGGGTAGCAACGGGCCGGGTCTAGCTGGAATCCGGACTGGTCGGATCCATTGGTACCCTATGACTAAGTTTTTTTTTTGTTTTGACCGTCATATACCCTAGCTTTGAGCCTTTTATTTTATTTTATTTTTTTTCAATAATACTATAAATATTGTCACTATTGCAACAATATATGCGTACCTAAATACACATGATTATTATCATATAGCTTATGACTATGAGTACTTGTCGAGTACAAACCTAGACCCAAATAGTATTCGGGTCCAAAATTTGGACCCATATCCAAACACGAGGTTGGTATATCCGTCGGGTCTGGTCGGGTCCATTGCCACCCCTCATTGGAATACTGTTCCAGTACCACAACGTTATGTATCATACTAAGCTCACTGTTTTTCCCGGTATATCCTCTGCACGTCTCTCTCTAGGATAAATCGTCTATCTCTCTCTTCGGTTTTGGTTATCCTCTCTGCAGATAAGTACATGACCTAAAGTTGATCGTCGTGTTCTAGGCCAACTTCGATGATGACCATGGTACTTGTATCATCAAAACCAAACCTTGTCAGACAGCATACCCACTCGTACTCTCTCTCTCTATCCCTGCTTATTCATCTGCAACTTTCTCTACAACGAATCCGAGAATAGTAACCTCTGAATAACTTTCTCTCTCTTTATGATTGCCCTGCTTTATTCTCATATCTTCTTTCATTTCTTTCTCTTTATGATTTCTCTGCTTTATTCTCTCTTCCTTCTGTCTTGTTTCATTTCTTTCTCTGGAACCTTCGTTGCATTCGTTTGTTATCTCATTAATTTGCAGACATGAATTGGGTTGGTTTTGTAATTTGTTATTTGTGAATTATAGAAATAAACGTTCTCTATTTCCCTTTTAATGATTTTTAAACTTCTCTGGGTGATTAATTTTCTTGGGTTTCAGTATTTCTATTGATTATTTCTCAAATTCTGATTCTTGCCTCTATATTTTTCTTCATCTGTATGATACTATGATGCAATACGAAAGTTCAATATCATAATTTTTGGTAAACATGATTTTTCTCGCAAATTAACAATGATAACTCAGAGAAGAGCCCAAAGTTATTTCAATTATTGGAGTTTCATTTTGATATTAGATTTCGCGCATAAATTGAATGTTCTGGTCTCCAGAACTCTAAGTGATGAATTATGTTGGGAAATAGAAAGATTTAACTTTGTATTTTTTTATTCAAATTTAAGTTCACTACAATCCTCATTTGAAGAGGAGGAAAATTTATTGCAAAGATCATTTTTCCCTTCTGCTACCACTTCTAAAGCATAAAGTGCTTAAATATCCAAAATTTGTGTGTTTAACTGCATAGTAATGGGTTTTTACCTCTGTTCTTACTTTGGTTGTTCGGGTTTTTATCTCTGTTCTTACTTAGGTTGTTCTTTGAGACTGCGTAAGGGGATTTTGCGAGCTAAGAATGGGGAATTCCTCATCAATGCTCACCCAATACGATATTGAAGAAGTTCAGGAACACTGCAACAACCTATGTATGAAACCCTACTTGAAGAATAGTTATCTCAAAAGCCAAAACTACGTATTTTTCTTTCCAGTCGAGAATTAGATGCCTTACTCTGCTCAAAATCCTCTGAGTTAATTTTATGTTAATTTTATGGCTGTGTAAGCTTACATTTTCTGGCTATTCTTCAGTTTCACAACAAGAAATAGTTTCACTGTACCAAAGGTTTTGCCAGCTTGATAGAAATGGGAAGGGTTTCATTTCAGCAGATGAGTTTATGTCGGTGCCTGAGTTTGCATTTAATCCTCTTTCACAGGTGAGCCCTATGTGCTTATTAAACTGGCACATTCTCAATCCCATTCTGAATTTATAGGAATCTAGTGTATGGGTATTAACGCCATTCATAAATTAATAGATGATGGGAAGTTAGTTGATATGTCTGATTTCTAGAGTTCAAAAGTTCTTAGTTGTAGAGAAATGGACTTGTTATTATTGGTGATATATGTTCTGATTTGGATTCTGTGAATTATTGGATACTATGAATTATGTCAAATTTTGATAATGGGAAAAGAAATTCATCGCCAAGATTCTACATTTTACTTAACTACTAATCAAGAAGAATTTGGTTTTTTAAATTTTGTACTGGTTTGAAAAGAAAAAGGACTGTGCATTACTTGGTGATACTCCAGTTCTAGATCTGGGTATTGTAAAAAAAAATTTCAAAATTTGATTGTTGGAAAAGAGTCAGATAGGTATGAATCTACTTTTCTACACACTCATCAAAAAGAAATGAAGAATATTCTAAATTTTGCAATGGTTCCATTCTTTGGCAGTTATTAGGGTGTGGTGTTTCATATATTTTTTGTTGAGAATTGGATGAGCAAGAATCTACTTTTTTTGAGGATAAGCAAGAATCTACTTATCTGGTAAAAGAAAAGACAGAAGATTCTAAAAGGTCCAAGTGTTGCAATGATGTTACATTGAGGTTATGTTTTCTTGATGATTAATTGGCTCGATGGAATAATTTCAATTACTCACTTGACTTTTGTTTTTCGTTTATTTATTTCAGAGGTTATTAAGAATGGTGGATGGGTTAAACTTTAAAGACTTTGTGGCCTTCTTGTCATCATTTAGTTCTCGAGCAAGTCTCCAACAGAAGATAGAACGTACGTATTAGTATTTTATTTGGATAAAATGTATTGTGCATTACATGACATATTTATATGTTCAGGACTGGAAGTTGAATATGAATTTCTTCAATGCATGTTTTTGGTCCAGTATATGCTCCTAAATTATGCCTTTTCTTCTCCTTTTCTGCCTCACAAAATGAAACTATAGAAAATAAAGTTAAATGCTGTTGTCCACCCTAAATTTTTGTTTATTTTTAATTAAATAATATTTTATGTATTCTACAGTTATGTTCAAAGTTTATGACTCGGACTGTAATGGAAAGGTGACTTTCAATGACATCTTGGCGGTGTTACGGGATTTGACCGGACCTTTCATGACTGAAGAGCAAAGAGAGGTAAAGTAATTAACTTGTTGGATCCCTCTCTCTTTCTCTCTCTTGCTCTCTCTCTCTCTATATATATATATGTGTGTGTGTGTGTGTGTGTGTGAGTGTGTGTGTGTGTATGTGGGGTGTGGGTGTGCATGCATGCATGAGTGTGTGTGTGTGTGCACGCATGTGTCACTTATATTAGTTCAAACTGAGGTCCCTCTGGAAAATAATAGGATTGATGCATCTTTCTCTAATAAGGCATATCTTTGCTTATAAAAGCACTGATGTTTTTCATGTTTAGGGATGAGAACTGCCTGTTATATGCATTACTCATTATATAATTTTCGGTGCTTGGTTGTGCATTTATGTTCTAGGTTTGGTGATCAATCTGATAACTTGTATAAAAATCTTAATTATGCTTTAACTTACATATGGTTGACTTGTTTGTAATCTTATATTCTTCGAAAAAAATTTAATATACGCAATTATGTCAATGTTTAACAGAAAAGCCACAAATTTTCTGATTCTAAGGTGGATTTACTGTCGTCTTGTTGAAACTTGGTTATTCTTCCATGCTGCATCTTACAAAGCGATTTCCTCTTTTCAAAATTGGTCGCTTGTCCAAACTGCATTTTTTTAACATATGATTTCATTTAGAAAACAGTATGAATATGACTATCAACATCAAGGGTTTGTGCAACTGATGCACTGGATCCACCAATAGGAACTCCAAAGTTAGTTGTGCTTGTGCATGAACAATGTTAGAATAGTTGATCTCCTGAGAAGCCGTTGTGATGCACCTAAGTTATCAAACTGAAAATAACAGGAAAATTGTTTACTTGCCAATTCTTTGCACAAAAGATGTGGTGAGGTATATATAAGCTAATATTAGTTTATCCAATGAGCTGGATTCCTCAAAAATCTATGCAAGCCTATGCTTCAGTCAACAATATTCTTACTTTCCATGACTACATACACGCTTCTTTATTTTTTTAGTGGGTGGAAGAAGAAGCATCAACTTGCATTAACTCTAGAATTGTAATACAGATAAAGACTCTGTGCATCAAGTTGCATTTTATCTCTTTCATATATAGGTGTAACGTTATCTATTTCATCAGTAAGTATAATAATGATGCAAATTCAGATAAATATTCAGTCTTGATAGTGTTCATAAATCTATGCAAGTGCGTAATATTCGTGACTATAGAACTGGGAATTCTGTGAATTATGTGACTCTTTAGAATCTAAGATCTGAAAAAAAAATCGTAGGTTTCAATTTTGTGTTGATCTTCTTTTCTCTTGCCAACTTGTGTTGCATAAATCATTGATTTTCAATGACTTGGGCTCAGACTCGCCTGAATCACTTGGACCCGGCAGGGTACTAATTTCGGTTCAAAACCTCAGGACTCACTGAAGTCCAGCCAGACCCGGGACTTTATTTTGTTAATTTGCTAGAGACTCTGCAGAATCTTGTCAAGACTTGGTTGTCAGACTACTGACTCAGACTCAGACCCTGCCTGGTGCCAGGCCCAAGTTCGAGTTTTCAGTCACTGGGTGGATATAATATTATTGATATATCGTTTCAATTATTTTTTTAGAAAAAGAATACAGTTGATGCATCCTTTACTAAATGCAAATATATCATACACCATAGACAGTCAGGGGATCTACCATCCATTTGTGGCCGCATATGGTTAAGACGAGGTCTTAGTCCTAATATGGAAATTCTTGTAAATTTCAAGTCCATATATGCTGTCCATTCTTGAGAATGGACAATGGATGCCCTGGCCTCATTGGAAAAAATAGACTCTTTTGCAACATACCATTTGAAGGGATGCTCTTCTTCTTAATCTTATCCCAAAATTTTTATTTTATTTTCAAATGAGTTGTAAGACATTTTTTGAGGGAATTGAATCCTTTACCTAATTCAATTTTGACTTTAGAAGTCCATGTGTAATGTCAGTAATTGTCAATGGATCATGTCTTTTAATAAGTGACTTGCTGAATAATCATTGTATTGCTAAGAATTTGAAAGGTTGGTCCAAGAGTACTATAGGACAGAACATTTCTGTAAAATACAATCAGACCCTACCATCAATGCAAAAAAAGAAACACTGAGCTCTCCCATTCATATTTCTGTACCACGGCATTATTAGTTCGCCTGGGATATAGGGGATGAATTTGAAGGTGCATATCGTTTGGATTTGGCATCCATTCTAAGTTTACTTGAGGTGTCAAAGGCATCTTGATCATCTCCTTTTGTGTAGATCACGTTAAGGAGCACTTGTTTTGGAATACTTGGACACTAGATGTATAAGGTCTGCACAAAACCACAGAGGTGGAAAACATGTAAAGTTTTGCAGCTTAAAACTATATGCAGTTTAATGTACATTGATTTCTTTCATTGGATTGCAGATAACTTATATTCGGTGTTATATGTCTCTTACTAGAACATGAACCATCCATGTTAATGATAGCTGTCTTTACTATTTTCCACAATGATGTTGGTTATGTTTGTTATGTTGTATAGCAAGTTGTGAACCATGTATTGAAAGAAGCGGGTTACACACAAGATTGCTCATTATCATTGGACAACTTCATAAAGGTATTACTTACATTAAAAAAATTTACTCTCAACTTTCTTCAGTAACTTTCTTCTGTTTTGGAAGAAGTTTATATAGAGCCACGTTTCTAAACGAATCAAATTAGAGCCCACCTAAAAAGTTCACTAGAAGAGGTTGTCTTCGATGCCCAAATATCCTCAAATTGATCATCTTGACACCAAGATGAATGGACATGAGAAAAAAATGGATTTCGAGTTTTGGAAATAGTGCATCTTGTAATGTATTTTTGGACCATCAATTTTCAAGATTTTCAAGTTTTCATAGATCTGCTAGATCTACACTATTTTTTAATCTTTAAATTTTATAATTAAATATGAAAATATATTTTAAGGCTATCACAAAGATTTCCAGTATTAAAACCACATTTCTCGACACTAGTTGAAGGTGGGCTTTACTTTGATTGTTTAGACCCTCGGCTCTATACAAACCGCATCCTTCTGTTTTTGATGAGGGTGTCTTAACTAATAAATCTTAAAGAAGCTTCTAACAAGGGTAAGATATAAGGAAAGGATGAACATTTTACCTTGTATATACCTTTTGATTTAACATTTTTTTATTAACTTCGTTGAATGGGAGGAATCATACTTTGGTGATTTTGGAAAAAAGATTTTGGTAAAAGCCTGCTGAATTTGAGTTTAAAGGATAATCTACAGCTCTTGCTCAGCTGAATGCAATGGCTTGGAGTTGTAATAAGTTCAAGCAATCTTTTCTTTGAACTTGTCTAGTTAATGACATACTAACAACGGCTTGATTAAAATCTATCATACAACAGTGATTGTGCCTTTTACCAAAAGTAAATGGTTTCTTTGTGTAAAAGGAGGTAAAAATATGAGAAGTTTTTATTTGCTTTTATTTTTATCATATGTAACAATTACTTTCTAATCAATTATGTGATGGACGTTCTGATTTCTTTGTAGATTCTTGGCAAGTCTGATTTGAAGACGGAAGTTGAAGTCCCCCTTGATTAGATTAAGCAAAGCATCTCTCTCTCTACACAGAGGTTGCCCTTGCTTCCTGTTTTTTCCATATAAAATAATAATGTACGTATTTTATATGCATATAAAAGCACTATGTATAATAATTAGTTACTGTGTTTAGACTTCAATGTCTAGAAATTAAGTTTGGCATCGATGCTGCTGCCATGGTTGCCTTAAACTAGGGCCCACATTTAAGCTGGGCTCTGCAGAAATCTGTTATATTTTCAGGAGAAGAAATAAAACACATCTTTGGAATTCAGGAGAAGACTATGCATGCACATATATGAAGATAAATAAACTCTTCACATGGAAACTATTAGAACTTTGAAGCAATTGCCTCAACAAAATTGTCTCTCTCTCTCTCTCGTTCATTTTCACATCATGTGTACATAATAAGCGATGCAAAACAGGCACACTCTCTCAACATGATAAGAGTGTCGGGCCACCGTTTTGGGTGGAATGTTGGCGCTCTTTTGACTTGAAGGCGATGTAGAGAGATTGTGTCGGGCCACGCTTTTGGGTGGAATGTTGGCGCTCTTTTGAATTGAAGGCGATGTGGAGAGATTGGGCCCAACAGAACGCGATTCTGGCTCCAATAGCTAGACCCGCTCATTTTAGGTATTTTGGCCAGGTCATGAGACTTTAGGCCATGTTTGTTAATTGAGATAGTTGAATTATTGGAGAATCTTTGAGAAAGTGGGAGCCTTTGAAAAAGGTGGAAGCAGAAAACTAGTAATTTGAAGCTAGGAACACTTGTTTGGAAGCAGAGATGGAAAAATCGGGCGATCTAACCACTAGCCACCTGATTAGATTGGAAATGACTACGGGCGATTCCAGTTTTCATGATCGGTCGGTATTTAAAAAACAAAAATAAAAAAAAGTATATAAATTCCCGAAAATAAATAATTTGGTTTGTAATGTATTTTTTTAATATTCTTTACATTAAGATAAAGATTAAAAATTGTTTTGATCACTAATACTCAGTTTAATTAAAAAATCGATTCATTAAAATCTTTTTT